ACAAAAAATGGAGTTTTCGGTCCCCTTCATCCCAAAATTAGTATCTGATCATCACCGAAAACCTCATGGAAAATTTCAAAGCGATCAGCGCTATATTTCCGTCTTCTAATGTGGTAATGGGTTACTAAGTAATATATGAATACGAAATCAACTCTAAATATTTAAGTGTAACTTCCATATCCGAGTACATACGGAATATAATTGGTATCAATTTAAAGGCAAACCTCTTGGATAAACTATCAACTTCTCGGGTCTATGTCCTTCAGGGGTATATATATACGCTATAAAATACAAATTTTGTAATTTTTCACATAAAAGTATGGGTCCATTTGACCCGTTATATATTGACGGAACTTCATAAAAACAGACGTGATTATTCTTTGGCCTAATCCCCTTTTCCATGTAAAAATTCGCGATGTTTGGGTCATAATTGCGGCCTCTGGAGCGACCAGAAAATCAGACAAAAATTAAGTATTTGGTCCATTTCATCCCCTAAATATTAACCGATCTTTAACAATATGGGTCTTCATTGGGCCGAACCCATCCTACATGCAAAATTTCGTGAAGATTGGTCCATAACTGTGGCCTGTATCGTGTTTACAAATTATAGTGGACGGACGGACACACATGTCTAGATCGACTCAGCTAGTTGAGATATGACGATCGTTATATTTAAAGGTGGGTCTATGACCAATATTTCGCGGCGTTACAAACTTTTGGGGCTGTACAAAGCTATAATACCCTGACACATAATTGTGTAGGGTATAAAAATCCATGCCTTTGTCAGATCTTTGAAATAATCCACTCCCATTTATGGTCCTTGACAAATATATTTTTTAATCCTTGGAAAAGTATTTGTTGAGTTGAGTCCTACCGGATTTCATTGTAATCTTTCCTTGTAGTTTTAACTTAGTTCTTAATTGTATCATTGTGTAAGTGTGTGTATGTCACACACACACCCACATAATGCCCCCAACACAAATACCTGTTGTTCCTTTTGCCATTTGCCAACATTCTTTGCAATTTACAATTGTCATAACTTAAATATCTTACAATGACAGGATTAGAGAAAAGGTCAACTATGTAACTTGTAAGGTACATAGAATTGAAATAAACACACACACACACAGACAAACATAAAAGGAACTCCTGGCCTTAAAATGAAACACTGGAATTTATTATTTTTCTAAATAAAAGATTGTGGCCTAAGGATTTAAATTAAAGTTTTGAAAAAACACACAACTTGAATAAACATGGCATGCGGACATGTCCTTTGAAAAGGATGTTCTTTTTATTTTGTAGTTCTATTTTTTTAACAAGATTCTCCTGCCAGTTGCAGTAGTTGGGTTATTTATTTATTTTTGTTTGTTTTAATATTTCAAGTTTATTTTCTAAAACTTTAGTAAACCACATTCTATTATTGAACACACAAAAAATATACAAAAAATTTAATTAGAAATGTTGGTTTTTCTCAGTTATTGTTAAATCAATTGACACCTTTGGTTTTGTACAATTTACCAACACCTGGATATTAAAACTTAATTTGGAGACGACTACATAGACACATACATGTATGAAAACAACTTCAAAGCAATGGCGGAAATAACATTTTATTGAGGGGGGAACTATAAAAGGATATTTTTTTAAGGTTGGGTTTTCTTTCTCAAAAAAAAAAAAAATTCAATAACCTATAAGGAGGGGCTTATTTGAAAATATATTTGTTCAAGGATCTACAAGGCGTGGATTATATAAAAATGTTTTTTCAAGGACCTATTTTCAAGGACCTGTTATAATCATACCTTTTCAAGGACATTTAAGGCGTGGATTATTAAAACCATACTTCAGCAAGGACCTCTAAGGCGTGGATTATTAAAACCATACTTCAGCAAGGACCTCTAAGGCGTGCATTATTAAAACCATACTTCAGCAAGGACCTCTAAGGCGTGGATTATTAAAACCATACTTCAGCAAGGACCTCTAAGGCGTGCATTATTAAAACCATACTTCAGCAAGGACCTCTAAGGCGTGGATTATTTAAAAATACTTCTTCAAAGGCCTTTAAGGCGTGGATTATTAAAAATAAAATATTTTTTCAAGGACCTTTAAGGCGTGGATTATTAAAAATAAAATATTTTTTCAAGGACCTTTAAGGCGTGGATTATTAAAAATAAAATATTTTTCAAGGACCTTTAAGGCATGGATTATTAAAAATAAAATATTTTTCAAGGACCTTTAAGGCATGGATTATTAAAAATAAAATATTTTTCAAGGACCTTTAAGGCATGGATTATTAAAAAAAAATTTGGATTATGAAAAGTAAAATATTTTTTCAAGGACCTTTAAGGCATGGATTATTAAAAAAAATTTGGATTATTAAAAATAAAATTTTTTTTCAAGGACCTTTAAGGTGTGGATAATTAAAAAAAAATTGGATTATTAAAAATAAAATATTTTTTCAAGGACCTTTAAGGCGTGGATTATTAAAAATAAAATATTTTTTCAAGGACCTTTAAGGCGTGGATTATTAAAAATAAAATATTTTTTCAAGGACCTTTAAGGCGTGGATTATTAAAAAAATATTTTCTCAAGGTTCTTTAAGGCGTGGATTATTAAAAAATTTTTTTCAAAGGCCTTTTAGGCGTGGATTGTAAAAAAAAAATATTCTTTCAAAGACTCTTCAAGACATGGATTATTAAAAACATACTTTTGCAAGGACCTTTAAGGAGTGGATTATTAAAAAATATTTGTTCAAAGGCTTTTAAGGCGTGGATTATTAAAAAATACATTTTCACAGGCCTTTAAGGTGTGGATTATAAAAAACTATTTTTTCAAAGGCCTTTAAGGCGTGGATTATAAAAAATATTTTTTCAAGGACTCTTCAAAACATGAATTATTAAAAAAAATATATATTTTCAATGACTCTTCATGACGTGGATTATTAAAAAAAATATTTTTTCAAGGACTCTTCAAGACGTGGATTATTAAAAAAAAAAAAATTATCAAAGGCCTTTAAGGCGTGGATTGTAGAACATAAAAATATTTTTTCAATGACTCTTCAAGACGTGGATTATTATAAAAAACTATTTTTTCAAAGGCCTTTAAGGCGTGGATTATAAAAAATATTTTTTCAAGGACTCTTCAAAACATGAATTATTAAAAAAAAATATACATTTTCAATGACTCTTCATGACGTGGATTATTAAAAAAAATATTTTTTCAAGGACTCTTCAAGACGTGGATTATTAAAAAAAAATTTTTATCAAAGGCCTTTAAGGCGTGGATTGTAGAACATAAAAATATTTTTTCAATGACTCTTCAAGACGTGGATTATTAAAAAAAATATTTTTTCAAGGACTCTTCAAGACTTGGATTATTAAAAACATACTTTTGCAAGGACCTTTAAGGTGTGGATCATTAAAAAATATTTCTTCAAGGACCTTTAAGGCGTGGATTATTAAAAAATATTTCTTTCAAAGGCCTTTAAGGCGTGGATTATTAAAAAATACTTCTTTAAAGGCGTTTAAGGCGTGGATTATAAAAAATATTTTTTCAAGGACTCTTCAAAACATGAATTATTAAAAAAAAATATATATTTTCAATGACTCTTCATGACGTGGATTATTAAAAAAAATATTTTTTCAAGGACTCTTCAAGACGTGGATTATTAAAAAAAAATATTTTTTCAAGGACTCTTCAAGACTTGGATTATTAAAAACATACTTTTGCAAGGACCTTTAAGGCGTGGATTATTAAAAAAATATTTTTAAGGGCCTTTCAGGTGTGGATTAGTAAAAAAAATATTTTTAAGGGCCTTTAAGGCGTGGATTGTAAAAAAATATTTTTTTGAAGGACTCTTCATGACGTGGATTATTAAAAAATATTTTTCAAAGACTCTTCAAGACGTGGATTATTAAAAAAATATTTTTTCAAAGGCCTTTAAGGGGTGGATTATTAAAAAAATATGGTTTCAAGGACTCTTCATGACGTGGATTATTAAAAAATATTTTCTCAAGGACCTTTAAGGGGTGGATTATTAAAAAAAATATTTTTTCAAGGACTCTTCAAGACATGGATTATTAAAAAAATATTTTTTCAAGGACCTTTAAGAGGTGGATTATTAAAAAAATATTTTTCAGGGACTTGCAAGACATTGATTATCTCAAAGATATTTTGTCAATCTTCTAGACGTAGATTATTTAAGGAGATGATTTTATTTAATAATATTTTTCAAGGTGTGGACTTCTTAAAGATTTTTTTCAGGCTCGGTTTATTTAGAAGTATGTTTCTTTAGGACCCACAAGGCATTGATTATTTAAATAAAGCATTCAAGGACCTCCCAGGCGCAAATTACTTCAATAATACTTTCAAAGACCTCCCAGGCGTAAATTATTTTAAGAATATTTTTTCAAGGACATTGTAGCCTACGTCTATGTCTTTATGAGTAGAAATCATGAATTTGCATTAACAAAATTCTTAAATGGGAGAATGTGTCAATAAGTAATTGCTTTATTTTCATACTCGTATTTCATAGGCTAAGAGGCGTATGATTAATTAATTACAAATATAATAATTTATATTACTCATACGCTCATATAAATAGTTGTTACTATAATAAATTAACATCCCACTTTAAATTGGAAATTTTAAATTTAATAGACATTGAGGTGATGTGTATTTGACACATAAGGAAACTATATAAAATGTGGCTAATATTGTGAAGGGGAATTTTAATTGGATTCTTGGATAAACAAAATTATTTTTATTGTTTTACATTTTTAAGTGAACTAGTTAATCTCAATAAAATTTGAATCTTATTAATAAAAATAATATCTAAGTGAATTTAAAACGTTAAAAATATATTTATAAATTTAGAAAAATATATTTACTAAAAACTACGTATGATTAATAAATCATTTTGCAATAAACATTACACATACGCCTTACATCAAATTTTTATCTAATAGCTAATTTTTTACCTATATTTCTGTTCTATTTTTCAGAGGTCCAATTTAAAATGTTGCAACCCAAACCACCCGAATCCGTTTGCAGTTTGGAATGCGAAAGGGGTCAGGCGAAAAAATATGTGGAGGGTGAGAGCTGCTGCTGGCATTGTTTCAATTGTTCAACATATCAGGTGAGTAGAAGTGGCAGAAAACAACGACAGCAAGTTTTTATTTTTGAAAAAAAATTGTTTGAAGTAACTTTAAACTAGCTTCGAAAGGCTTGGATTTTTTAAAATCATTTTTTCGAGTAGCAACCAAAGGCGTGGATTTTTTTAAAAATATGTTTTCAGGGTCTAGCCTTTGGCGGGATCTAGCCTTAGGCGTGGATTTGTTTTTAATATTTATACCCTACGCAGGGTATTAAAGCTTTGTGTAGCCCCAAAAGTTTGTAAAGCCGCGAAGTATTGGTCCTAGACCCACCTTTAAGTATACCGATCGTCACATCTCGACTAGCTGAGTCGATCTAGACATGTGTGTCCGTCCGTCCGTCTGTTCATTATAATTTGTAAACACGATACAGTCCAAAGTTATGGACGAAATTTTGCATGTAGGATTGGTTCTGGCCAATGAAGACCCCTATTGTCACGAAATATTACCCAGGCTCGGAATAAAAATCCGCAGAAACATAAAGTTCTATGGTAGTTGTGTAGAGTATCGTATGGTCGGCCCGTCCGACTATACTGCTCCGCATACTGGTTTAAAAATATTTTTGTCAAAGACCTACTAAAAGATATAGAAAATATTTGTAAACCAGTGAGCGGAGCAGTATAGTCGGACGGGCCGACCATACGATACCCTACACAACTACCATACGATACCCTGCACAACTCCCACATACGAGTACATACGGCAATATAATTGGTATCAATTCAAAGGTCAACCACTCCTCTTGGATATATTATCAACTTCTGGGGTCTATGTCCTTCAGGTCGGTCTTGTGCGCAAATCCACAAATTTGGAAGATCACGTTCCAGGATGTTGTTTTCTACTTGGTCTTTCCATCTAATTCGTGGCCTTCCCCTTCTACGGGAACCATCAGTAGGCTCGTTTTTATATGCCTTTTGAGCTAGGGCATTCTCATTCATCCGCACAACATGGCCTAGCCACCGTAGTCGCTGCAGCTCAATACGACTGACTATGTCGATGTCCGAGAATAGCTGGTACAGGTCATGGTTCATTCGACGCCGATATTCACCGTCGACGCAGATCGGCCCGTAGATCTTTCGGAGAATTTTTCTTTCAAACACCTCAAGAGCTGTCTCATCTGCTTGCGCAAGTACTCATACTTCTGATCCATATGTTAGCACGGGTAGCATCAGCGTCTTGTAAAGTGTGAGTTTGTCTGGCGGGAAGTGGCCTTGCTTCTAAACTGCTTACTTAGACCATAGTAGCATCTGTTGGCCATCACACTCCTTCTCCGAATTTCACAACTGATGTCAGTCGTTTTATTTATGGCGGTACCAAGGTATATAAGGTCTTTAACTACCTCGAAGCTGTAGTTCTCAAGTTCCACAGTTGGTCCGAGTCTACTGGACGTCTTGCGCGTTGGTACCATCAGCTTGGTCTTCTCGCCGTTTACTGCCAAAACCCACTTTGGCAGACTCCTTTTCAATTTGTTCAAAGGTGGCTGTTACCGCCCGCAATGTTCGACCCATTATATCGATGTCATCGGCGTAGGCGAGTAACATGTGTTGTTTGGCGTACAGTGTGCCATTTCTGTTCACTTTTGCGTCTCGTATGATGTTAAAAAGATCACACGACAAACTGTCATTTTGTCTGAATCCTCGTTCGGTATTGAAGGGCTCCGATAGGTCCTTTCCTACTTTAACCGCTGACATTGTGCCACTTAAAGTTATCCTGCATAGCCGTATTAATTTTGCATTAAACACCTCTGGATGGATAGGGTTGTCGAATGCGGCTTTATAGTCGACAAATAGGTGATATGTGTCGATGACATAGCACACTGGATAGCACTTTATATGCGATGGGAACGAGACTTATTCCTCTATAGTTGGCACATGTCGTCTTGTCTCCCTTTTCGTGCACGGGACAAAGGATGCTGAGGTTCCAATCATTGGGCATGCATTCATCTAGCCAAATTGTACTAATCAGCTGGCGCATTCTTGTTCCTGACCAGCATCTGGCCACCAGTCTTGTCATTTTTCACACAAAAGTCAGGGCCCATTTAACCCGCTAAATATTGAGAGATCTTTATCAAAACAGCATTGCTTATTCTTCAGCCCGATTCTGTTCTCAATGTAAAATTTCGCTATGTTCGGGCCGTATTTGGGGCCTCTGGAGGGACCAGAAAAACGGTCAAAAAATAAAGTATTTCGTCCCTTTCATCCCTTAAATATTAACCGATCTTTACCAAAAACAATAGTGGCCTTCATTGGCCAGAACCCATCATACATGCACAATTTCGTGAAGATTGGTCCATAACAGTGACCTGTATCGTGTTTACAAATTATAATGGACAGACGGACGGACGAGATTTGACGATCAGTCTAGGACCAATATTTCGTGGCATTACAAACTCTTGGGGCGGCACAAAGCTATAATACCCTTACAACATAGTTGTGTAGGATATAAAAATTCACGCGTATGTTTAGTTCGTGAAAAAATATTTCTTAAAACTCCCTGCCTGTTTATTGTTCTTGGAAAAATTAAATTTCCTGCCTTCCCCTTCAAAATCCAATAATCAATGTGATATTAGTTTGTTTGCTTCCAGGATTTTTTCGATTACATTTTGAAATCACTTGAAAACAATTTTCAATGTTTTTTTCCTTGTTTATTTATTTTTCTATTATTTCCTTCTCATATTCCCTGAAAATGTTTGTGTGTGTCTGTGTCATGTTCGATGGCTTGTTAACCTGACATGATTGTGGCAGCCATGTCAGTGTGTTCGCTTGGCCGTAATGCTACACCGGAAACGTGTACAAACACCACATGTTATTACTCATGTATAAGCTGACAGTATATTTATACCATTAACTTTAGGTTTGCAATTGTTGTTGTTGTTAGTGTAAGTGTTATTTTTCTTGTTGTCATATCTTGTCCGTATAACTACTGCTTCTGGGGACTTCTTGGCTTACCATGGGAAACATGATTTATTGTAAAACTTTGCAGTTTGGTTTTTAAGGGCAAAAAGAAAAGTAACGGTAACTTGGTAAGGATAAGGACAAAATGAGTGAGATATTGTTGGAGAGGGCTAGGAAGGGTGTAAATATAATCGATTTTATAGGACAATTGTTTGAGGGCGGATAGAGGTAATTTTCTTCTTTTTGGTCGAAGGTGTATAGATTAAAGTTAGGAATCTATTTTTAATAACTCGAGAGTTTTATAAGAAGATTTATTTGTTTTAATCCTTTTTCTTATTATCCTTTTTTCATTATCTTTTTTGTTTTTTCTCCATTTTTATTGCAGATTCGCCACCCCACCGATGAAACCCAATGTCTAACCTGTCAATTGGGTACATTACCCGATGCCACCAAACAATATTGCCAAACCATACCAGAGGTTTATTTACGACCCGAATCCGCATGGGCCATTGGGGCTATGGCATTTAGTGCCACCGGAATATTGGTGACACTGTTTGTTGTGGGTGTATTTGTGAGGTAAGTTTATCTACTAAGGATATCAATGTATGTCCGTAATGTAAGAACGTATAAAAATATTTTTTATTTATTTTATTTCTCCAAGATTTTATTTTTTTGGCCACGTGATTGTCTTCGATATTTGCTCAGATATCCATGTCGTAGAATATCCTGCCAAGCGACTTGGGTAAATAACAAATGTCCATGGACATTACAAATGCATCTCCCATAGTTGATAATGTCCAGCATGACATTGATACCACTATATATTATTGTACTGGCCACTTGACATGGTTTTTCTGATGATGTATGCTTTCCATTTGTTGTATCCTTAATGGCAAGGATAACAAGGAATTGAAATTTCAACAACTTATCCTTGGCATTTTTAAATTGAGGAGTCAGACACTTTTTTGGAAAACCATAAATGTTTAAAAAAAATTAATAGGTTTCAGGGCAAGTCCCTTGAGGTCATGGCCAAACCAAACGAATCCTTAAATATAAAAATTTCCTCAAAACAAAAAATACCTCTAAACATCAAAAAATCCCAACTTATATTACATTCTGAACATTCTGTGTATTTTTGCAAAAAAAAAAGAAACAAAAATACATTTTCAAAATATTTGGCCATGTACCAAAAAAATATCTGACCTTAAACTCAACATTATATGGCCAATACAATCCTTTTTTTTCAATTTTTTCCCTGTGTTAAATACCAAAAAAAAATCGTATTATGTTCAACAAAAATGTTGCAAAATTTTGAACTTACACATTATACAATGTCCCGCACACACTCACACAAAGTCATGACCTTTTTAATAACAACCACATAACATTTCCTTATTACAATAATGTTGGAAGCGGTGTGTGTCTGTGTTTGAGCTGTTAGAAATGAGCACAAACAGTTTTCAATGGAATTTCTAAAAATATTTTTCTCGAAACCATAACAATTAGAAGGGGAAACCAGCAGCAATGGATTAAAAATGAAAGAACAATAGAAAATGTGGATGGGGAAGGATGGCGGGTCTCCATAGTTGAATTAAATTATTTTTAAAAATCCGCGCCTTATGTAGTCTCTTAGAAAAATACTTTTAAATCAGTAAGGAAAGTAGTAAAGTCGGACGGAGTCGACTATATGATAACCTTCACCACTTTGGGTATATTGTACATATGTATCCTCACAATTGTATATCAATGTGCAACAGACTCATGCCTTTCTGCAATCTATGCTAAATTTAATTACATTCGGGCAGATTTACAGTCGTCTGCGTACCATGAGACAAATTTATGGAAATCGGTACGTCTGCACCAATTTCAACAAAACGCAATAACGTCATTCAAGTCTCAATTTCATACATTGTGTACAATTTCGTATTAATCGGACAAACGTTAGGGTTTTGGTGAACCATTTACGTAAAATCGGACGAATATATATGTATATGTGGGAGCTATATAGAAATCTGAACCGATTTTCTTGAAACGTAATACAAAACATTCTAGACGCAATTCAGCACGATATGCTAAACTTCGGGCAAATCGAAAGATATGTAGGGACTTTGGTGCATTGTTTACCTAAAATCGGAAAAAAATATATATGGGAGCTATATCTACATCTGAACCGATTTTCCCGGAACACACCACTCATAATTCTGAACTCAAGTCAGTACGCTATGCCAAATTTCATGCAAATCGAAGGACATATAGGGACTTTGGTGCACTATTTATCTAAGATCGGACGAAAATAAATAACTAAATCTGAACCGATTTTCACGAAACTTAGCAAACATCATTCTAGGCTGAATTCAGTACGCTGTGCCAAATTTCGTGCAAATCGAAAGATATTTAGGGACTTTAGTGCACCATTTACCTTAAATCGGACGAATATATATATATATATGGAAGCTATATCTAAATCAGATCCGATATTTACGAATTTGAACACACATCTTTCTAGACTCAATTCAGTACGCTATGCTAAATTTCGTACACATCGAATGATATGTAGGGCTTTGGTGCACTGTTTACCCAAAATCGGACGAAAATATATATGGGAGCTATATCTAAATCCGAACCAATTTTCCCGGAACTCACTACTAATCATTCTGAACTCAAGTCAGTACGCTATGCCAAATTTCGTGCAAATCGAAGGATATATAGGAACTTTGGTGCACTATTTACCTTAAATCGGACGAATATATATATGGGAGCTATATCTAAATCTGAATCGATTTTTCACGAAACGTAGCTACATCATTTTGGGCTTAATTCAGTACGCCGTGCCAAATTTCGTGCAAATCGAAAGCTATTTAGGGACTTTGGTGCACCATTTACCTTAAATCGGACGAAAATATATATGGGAGTTGTATCTAAATCTGAACCGATTTTCACGAAATTTAACACACATTATTCTAGACTTTATTCAGTGCGCCATGCCACATTTCATCCAAATAGAAGGATATATAGGGACTTTGGTACACCATTTACATAAAATCGGACGAAAATATATATGGGAGCTATATCTAAATCTGAACCGATTTTCACGAAATTTAACACACATCGTTCTAGACTACATAGAGTACACTATGCCAGATTTCGAGCAATTCGAAGGATATATTTTACCTAAAATCGGAAATAAATATATATGGGATCTATATCTAAATCTGAACCGACTTTCATGAAATTAAACACACATCGTTCTAGACTAAATTCTGTACGCTATGCCAAATCTTGTGCAAATTGAAAGATATATAGAGACTTTGGTGCACTATTTACCTAAAACCGGACGAAAATATATATGGGAGCTATATCTAAATCTGAACCAATTTTCCCGGAACTCACCACTCATCATTCTGGACTCAATTCAGTACGCTATGCCAAATTCCGTGCAATTCAAAGGATATATGGCGCACTATTTACCTAAAATCGGACGAAAATATATATGGGAGCTATAACTAAATATGAACCGATTTTTTTCTAAATTCAATAGGGTTCGTCCCTGGACCAAATAAGTGACTTATGCCAAATTTCATACAATTCGGGTCATAAATGCGACCTGAATGGACATGCATAAATCGACTCAGAAAGTGATTCTATGCATATTCTCAAAAGGAACCATGTGTCTATCTCGATTCCTTTTGCCTGTTGCAAACATATGCACAAAGACATAATACCCTGGACCACAGTGTGGTGAAGGGTATAAAAATCCACGCCTTTGTTAGCCCCTGAAAAAATAAAATATTTTTAAACCAGTGAGCGGAGCAGTATAGTCGGACGGGCCGACCATACGATACCCTACACAACTACCACGGAAATCTAACTTTATGCGGATGTTTATTCCGAGTCTGGGCAATATTTCGTGACATTTGCACCCTCTTGCCCGATTAGAGGTCAACAGCACTTCTCCCACACACTGAAATGTTTTGCGAATATTACTAATATTTAGTACAGCCCTTCTAATTACTTGTCCAGATTGCCTTCACCGCTGGTTGTATGGTGATGTTCGGCTTATAACTGTCGCCTATAGATCGATTCGAAAAATACAAAAATATTATGTTTACGGTCCACTTCATCCCAAAATTATTATCTGACCATCGCCGAAAATTACAGGCGCCGTCCTTGACCATAACTGGAATCCCAAGAATAATTTTAATGTGATCAATGCTATCGTTCCGTCTTCTACTGTGGTAATGGGTTACAAAATAATATCTGAATACAAAAGCACCTGTAAATATTTACGTGTAACTCCCACATCCGAGTACATACGACAATATAATTGTTATCAATTTAAAGGTCAACCACTCCTCAACTTCTCGGGTCTATGTCCCTTAGGGGCAAATATACACGCCAAAGAATACAAATTTTGTAATTTTTCACACAGAAATTGAAGGTCCATTTGACCCGCCTAATTGATCGATCTTTGTCAAAGCTGGTATGCTCATTCTTTGGCCTCATCCCTTGTCCATGTAAAAATTCGAGATGTTTGGGCCATAATTGCGACCTCTGGAGTGACCAGAAAAACCAACAAAAATTAAGTATTTGGTCCATTTCTTCCCCTAAATAATAATCGATCTTTACCAAAAACAAAAGGGGTCTTCATTGGCCAGAATCCATCCTACATGAAAAATTTCGTGAAAAATGCTCCATAACTATGGCCTGTATCGTGTTTACAAATTATAATGGACAGGTGGAAGGACACACATGTTTAGATCGACTCAGCTAGTCGAGATATGACGATCGGTATACATAAAGGTGGGTCTAGGACCAATATATCGCGGCGTTACAAACTATTGGGGCTGTACAAAGTTATAACACCCTGACAACATAGTTGTGTGGGGTATTAAAATCCACGCCTTATGTAGGCCCTTAGAATATTTTTTTTTTTAAATCCACGAACCTGTAAATATTTACGTGTAACTCTCACATCCGAGTACATACGAAAATATAATTGGTATCAATTAAAAGGCCAACCACTCCTCTTGGATATACTATCAACTTCTCCGGTCTATGTCCTTCAGGATTAAATATATATATATATATGTATATATATATTTATAAAACTGTTGGGGCTCCACAAAGCTATAATACCCTAACACCATAGTCGTGTAGGGTATAAAAAATCCATGCTTTATTTAAGTTCTTGAAAATTTATTTTTTACAAATCTCCTTTATCCGTTATGACCCATTGAAAAAATCCCTGTCCCACCTCTTCACTAGACATTCTATACCACCGAAACTGCCACTTTTGTCTAACCAGCAAAAATTTTTCACATAATTTCTAAAAAATATTTCGTATTAAATCCTAGCTATTAAAATGATATTAAATTTTCATTAGCACTTATAATGATATTTTCCTCTTCTTTCTCCCCATATTTTTCCTCTTTTCAAAATCTGCAACATTATGGCAACTGCAACTATTTTTACACACATTTGTTGCCTGGCTGACTATTCAACGATGCTACCGATGATGATGATGCTGCCGATACAATGGAATGAAATTACCATTACGAACTAACCACATCCGCAGACACAATGACACACCAATTGTCCGGGCATCCGGCAGGGAGTTAAGCTATATTCTCCTGGCAGGCATTCTGATGTGTTATGCGGTCACATTTGCCCTGGTACTGAAGCCGACAAATGTGGTGTGTGCCATACAAAGGTAAGTACATTTTTGGTGGAAATATTGTTTTTTTTTCGTTTCGTTATGTTTGTATGTGAGTGTGTATGTGGGATTTGTTTCGTTTTCCCTCCCAGTCACGTACCCAAGCAACCAACCAGCCAACCTTTACATTGATAATGTATACATGAATGCTGTTGATGCCATAGCTTTGCCTGCAGAATGTTTGGTTGGCTGGCTGGCTGATTCGATGGTTTGTTGCGTTGCATTTGATCTGTTTTGTAATTCGGTCTCTGATGTCTGTTAATGTAGTGGTGTGATTTTTACACTCAAATCGCTGAATATTTTTTGTTAATATTCAAATAGAATTATGCTTATTTTTGGGAGTTTGTTTTTGGTAATTTCGGTTGGGGATTTAAATATACATGGAGGAAATTGTTTTGGTGTGGAGGTGAATTGAAAATAAATTTTTAAACTTAAAGTGATGACAAACCATCAAAATATATTTTTTTAAAAATCCACGGCTGCATATAGGCATCAAAAATATATATATTTATATCCACGCCTAATGGTAGGCCCTGAAAATTAAATTAAAAAAATCCATGCCTAATGATAGGCCTTAAAATTTAATTTTTTAAAAAATCCACGACATTTAAATTCCGCTAGGAGATTTTAAAGCAAAAATCGGAAGGGAAAATATCTTTGACCCCAGCGTCGGAAAATTCAGCCTCCATGAAGCAACATCAGACAACGGCATGAGGTTGATTGACTTGGCGGCAGCAAGAAAAAAACATGGTAGATAGCAGCCCCAGATTCATGTATCTCGATATACACAAGGCCACTTGGATTTCTACCGATCGAACAACGAGAAATCAAATCGATCATGTTGTGATAGATGGAAGGCATTCATCCAGTGTTTTAGATGTCAGATCGATCGGGGCCAGTATCGATTCGGACCAATACCCTGTGGCAGTCAAGGTACGCACCCGTCCCGTAATGTAGCAGCAAAGGTGCGATCTAATATAACACGGAAATCTGACGTCGAAAAGCTGCAAACACAACAGATAGCAGAAGTCTACTCCGCTCAACTTTCGCAACTGCTTGACGAAAGCATCCCTTGTCCCGATAATAATATAGAAGCACAATGGCAGAGAATTGTCCACTCCCTACAAACTGCAGCAAAAACAACACTTGGGTACCATAAACCACCATCAAGAAATCTGTGGTACGATCAGGTGTGTCGTAATGCTACGGATATGAAAAACGCAGCGTATAAGGCAACCCTGCGGACAGTAGCAACACGTAATGCGATGGAGAACTATCGGGAGAAAAGGAGAGAGCAGAAACGTATTTTCAGAAAAAAGAAGAAAGAACAAGAAAAACGTGAACGTGAGCAAATCGAGATGTACAGGAGTCAGAATGATGTCTGAAAATTCTACCAACGGATAAAAGACCAAAACGAAGGCTTTAGTGCAGGCAAATCCTCTTCTAGATATGAAAAAGGAAACCTGGTGACAGATACATACAGCGTGCTGAGGATCTGGAAGGAGCATTTTGAAAAACTTCTGGTATCAAATAGTAGCGATCAAGAGGATACCCCAGAACCAATAAGTGATGACGGTAAGAGGTGTCGATGGGTTACAAGCCGAACTATTCAAGACTGGTGGTCAGATGCTGGTAAAGAGCTTGCACCTGCTGATTAGTAAAATTTGGCTAGAAGAATGCATACTCAATGATTGGAACCTCAGCATCCTGCAAAAGGAGGCAAGACGATATGGGCCAACTATGGAGGAATAAGTCTCCCACCCATCGCATATAAAGTGCTATCCAGTGTGATGTGTGAACGACTGAAGCCAATGGTCAATGACATTATTGGACCATACCAATGCGGCTTCAGACCTGGCAAATCCACCATTGACCAGATTTTCACTCTACGCCAAATCCTGGAAAAAAACCCACGAAAAACACATCGACACATTCCACCTATTCGTTGACTATAAAGCCGCATTCGACAGCCCTATCCGTTCAGAGGTGTATAAAGTCATGTCTGCGTTTGGTATTCCTGCAAAATTAATACGGCTATGTAGGATAACTTTAACTGGCACAAGGTCAGCAGTTAAAGTCGGAAAGGACCTCTCGGAGCCCTTTAATACTGAACGAGGATTCAGACAAGGTGATAGTTTGTCGTGTGACCTTTTTATCATCCTGCTGGAAAAGGTGACACGAGAGGTAAAAGTGAACAGCAATGGCACTCTGTACACACAACAACACATGTTACTCGCCTACGCCGATGACATCGACATAATGGATCGAACTTAGAGAGCAGTAGCAGCCACCTTTGAGCAAATTGAGAAGGAGTCTGCCATAGGCGGTCTAGCAGTAAACGGCGAGAAGACCAAGCTGATGGTATCAACGCGCAAAACGTCCAGTAGACTCGGACCAACTGTGGAACTTGAGAACTACAGCTTCGAGGTAGTCAAAGGGTTTTGTTTACCGCCATAAATAAAACGAATTACATCAGATTTGAAATTCGAAGAAGGATAATGATGGCCAACCGATGCTACTATGGTCTGAGCCAACAACTCAAAAGCAAAGCCACCTCCCGCCAGACCAAACTCACACTCTACAAGACGCTGATACTACCCGTGCTGTTATATGGATCCGAGGCATGGGTACCTTCGCAAGCAGATGTGGCAGCTCTTGGAGTGTTTGAGAAAAAAATTCTCCGAAAGATCTGGTCGATCTGCGTTGACGGTGAATATCGCCGGTACAACCATGAGTTGTACCAGCTATTCTCGGACATCGGCATTGTTAGACGTATTGAGCTGCAGCGAATACGTTAGCTAGGTCATGTTGTGAAAATGGATGAAGATGTCCCAGCCCAGAAGGTATATATAAAATAAAATGAACCAGCTGATGGTTCACGCTGAAGGGGAAGGCCGCGAATAAGATGGAAATATCAAGTGGAAGACAACATTGCCGAAAATTGGAGAAACTGCCCAAAATACCGAAGCACCTGGAAATCTTTTCTAAGCTCGGCTTATGGAACGAAAGTTCTGTCACAAGCCAGCTAAGTATGTAAGTAAGTTGTGGATATTTAAAAAATATGGCCCATCATTAGGCGTGGATTTAAAAAAAATATATTAAGGCCTATCTTTAGGCGTGGATTTTTTAAAAAAATATTTTAAGGCCTATCTTTAGGCGTGGATTTTTTAAAAAAATATTTTAAGGCCTATCTTTAGGCGCGGATTTTTAAAAAAAAGGTTTTAAGGCCTATCTTTAGGCGTGGATTTAAAAAAAAAATATTTTAAGGCCTATCTTTAGGCGTGGATTTTTTATAAATAAATATATATTTTATTTTATTTTATTTTATGTTTTTTTTAAATCCACGCCTAAAGATAGGCCTTAAAATATTTTAAAAAAAATATTTTAAGGCCTATCTTTAGGCGTGGATTTAAAAAAAAAATATTTTAAGGCCTATTTTAGGCGTGGATTTTTTAAATAAAATATTTTAGGGCCTATCTTTAGGCATGGATTTAACAAAAAAAAATATTTTAAGGCCTATCTTTAGGCGTGGATTTTTTAAAAAAATATTTTAAGGCCTATCTTTAGGCGTGGATTTTTTAAAAAAATATTTTAAGGCCTATCTTTAGGCATGGATTTAACAAAAAAAATATTTTAAGGCCTATCTTTAGGCGTGGATTTAAAAAAAATATTTTAAGGCCTATCATTAGGCGTGGATTTAAAAAAAATATTTTAAGGCCTATCTTTATGCGTGGATTTTTTAAAAAAATATTTTGAGGCCTATCTTAGGCGTGGATTTAAAAAAAATAGTTTAAGGCCTATCTTTAGTCGTGGATTTTTTTAAAAAATATTCTTCATGGATAATTAAATATCTTAGCCATATTAAGCTTATTTTACATCTCTTCCTGGTTTAAACTTTCCAATAAAAAAATTTGTTCATATTTCCATTCCTCTTCCTTTAAAACTGGTTTATGGCCATAAAATGCAACAAACCCCATAAATCCTGTAACTTCTTTACTTTTTTATTATCCAAATCTCTTCCATTTCCATTTTTTATTCAAATGAAAAAGTTGTTTTATTACCACATTTTAGAACTCCCTGCATGTGCCTGCACGGGTGTTAAATTTTATATAAACTTATTTTTAACAATTTCGAAATTTTTTTACTGCTATTTTTTATCTTCTCTTCACCATTTAGATTCTCTGTGGGTTTCTGCTTCACTGTGGTCTATGCTGCCCTGCTAACAAAAACGAATCGCATTGCCAGGATCTTTAAGGCTGGCAAGCAGTCGGCAAAACGTCCCTCGTTTATAAGTCCCAAATCGCAATTGGTGATATGTTCATTTTTTATATCCGTGCAGGTAAGATAATTTCGCAAAAAAAAAAAAAAAAGAAAGAGAGGGGAAGGGGAGAAAAATCCCTTTTTCCACTTAACACAAATAATGTATCTGTCATCTATATTGTGCATAAATAATTAATTTGTAATTTCAAAATCTTTTTTCTTTCATTCTTTTTTCCAAAAAACAACTTCATTGTGCCACCCACCCCTCATCATCCTCTTCCACGTGCTGCATTCTGCCATGACAACAGATATTGATAAATGGCGTCTGGATGCTAATAGCACCCTCACATGCCATGCATCATCATCCGACACGCGAGGATAACCTATTGGTATGCGATTCGTATATCGATGCTTCGTATGTCATCGCCTTCTTCTATCCGATTGTATTGATTGTGGTGTGTACGGTCTATGCGGTGCTGACACGCAAAATACCGGAAGCTTTTAATGAATCGAAACATATCGGTAAGTGAATGGAGTTCAATGGTTATAAAGGGAAGGTGGAGTTAAGCAGGAGGTGAAATGAAATTGTGTTAAGAGCTGGCATTTGTCAGTGATGATAATGAAGGGAAATTAAGTTATCAAGTGGTTCGGGGTTGAGGGTGCTCGAAAAGGGATGAGGATTTGAGGAGACAATCGACAAACTTACAAGGATCTATAAGAACGTGGATTAAAAACAGAAGGGCTATCATTAACCTGTGGATTATTAAAAATTAAATTTCAAGGCCTATCAACAAGCGGAGAATTTCTAAGGCGTGAAGTTTTTAAAATTAAATTTCAAAGTCAAGTAGTCAAAGTAGGCGCAGTTTTAAAAAAAAAAAATAATTATGAAGGCCTACTTTTAGGCGTAGATTCTTAAAAATTAATTTTCAAAGCCTACTATTAGGCGTGGAATTTTAAAAGCCAAATTTCATGGCCTACTATTAGGCGTGGAATTTTAAAAGCCAAATTTCATGGCCTACTATTAGGCGTGGATTTTTAAAAGCCAAATTTCATGGCCTACTATTAGGCGTGGATTTTTAAAAGCCAAATTTCATGGCCTACTATTAGGCGTGGATTTTTAAAAGCCAAATTTCATGGCCTACTATTAGGCGTGGATTTTTAAAAGCCAAATTTCATGGCCTACTATTAGGCGTGGATTTGTTAAAATTAATGTAAAAATTATCTATAATGACAAAACTCTCTTCAACACAAATTCTTTTACAGCTTATGCTCCACAGCTGCTTCACCTTTCGCCTGCTAACGATCCTTATCAACGTCTTTTCCTTTTATTTGTTCAATAAATTTGTTACAATTCATTACATTTTTATTTATTTATTTTTCTTCTCTTCCCTCTATTCCCTACAGGTTTCACCATGTACACCACCTGTGTCATTTGGCTGGCCTTTGTCCCGCTCTACTTTGGTACAGCCAATCATGTACCACTGAGGATAACATCGATGTCGGTAACGATTAGTTTATCGGCCAGTGTAACAATAGCATGTTTATTTTCACCAAAGGTAAGTTTGCTCATATGGCAGGCCTTTACTCCCACGGGGTGTAAGACGGTGACATGGGATGGGATGATAATAAGAAATCAGGAATTTATGAGGATAATTAGGTTGTATTTGGGAGACAATAAATTTGTGTGCGTGCTCATAGAGCAGATGGTGCCGAAAGGAGGATTTATAGATATGGGCAAGGAAAGGTGGGGCTGGGGAATAAATGCGAGTAATATTAGATTAATGTCCTAAGGGATATTGTATAATAGTTTAATAAAATAACAATTTGGGGGTAATAATTTAGTATACAAGAAAATATATTGTAGAAATTGAAGGTCTTCAGAGGGACGGGTTACAATGTTAAACATAGGAGGGCTTTATAGACATATATATTAATTTCAGGGACTAACAGTAGGTGAGTAATTTAAAAAAAATATATTAGGTACTAAGAAGGGACGTGGATTTTTTAAAAAATAATTTTCTTAATTTTTCAGATTGAGAAAAATCGGTCCAGATATAGATATAGCTCCTATGTATATTTTCTTCAGATTTAAAATCCCCATATATCTTTCGATTTGCACGAAATTTTGCATAGCGTACTGAATTAAGAGTAGAATGATGTGTATAAAGTTTCGTGAAAATCGGTTCAGATTTAGATATAGCTCCCATATATATTATGGTCCGATTTAAGGCAAATAGTGCACCAAAGTCCCCATATATCTTTCGATTTGCACGAAATTTGGCACAGCGCACTGAATTAAGCCTAGAATGATGTATGCTAAGTTTCGTGAAAATCGGTTCAGATTTAGATATAGCTCCCATTTATATTTTCATCCGATTTAATTTTGCACAGCATACTGCATTAGGTCTAGAATAATGTGTGCTAAGTTTCATGAAAATCGGCTCAGATTTTGATATAGCTCCCATATATATTTTGGTCCGATTTAAGGTAAAATGTGCGCCAAACTCCCTTTATATCTTCCGATTTGCACGAAATTTGGCACAGTGTACTGACATAAGCCTGGAATTATTTGTGCTAAGTTTCGTGAAAATCGGTTCAGATTTAGATATAGCTCCCATATATAGATTCGTCCGATTTAAGGTAAATGGTGCACCAAAGTCCCTATGTATCTTTCGATTTGCACGAAATTTGGCATAACGTACTGAATTAAGCCTAGAGTGATGTGTGCTAAGTTTCTTGAAAATTGGATCAGATTTAGATATAGCTCTCATATATATGTTCGTCCGATTTAAGGTAAATGGTGCACCAAAGTACCTATATATGTTTCGATTTGCACAAAATTTGGCACAGCATAATGAATAAGTTCTAGAATGATGTGTGCTAAGTTTCCTGAAAATCGGTTCAGATTTAAATATAGCTCCCATATAGAGTTTCGTCCGATTTTATTTAAATGATGCACCAAAGTCCCTAAAAATCTTTCGATTTGCACGAAATTTGGCACAGCGTACTGAATTAAGTCTAGAACAGTGTGTGTTAAGTTTCGTAAAAATCGGTTCAGATTTAGATATAGCCCCCATATAGAGTCTAGAATAAGGTGTGTAAAGTTTCGAGAATATTGGTTCGGATTTAGATATAGGTTCCACATATGTATTTTCGTCCGATTTTAAGTAAATTGTGCACCAAACTCCTAACGTTTGTCTGATTGACTCGAAATTTTGCACAACGTAAATTCGTCCCAGTGTACCCAAACGATTCTAAATCTGCCCGATTGAAATTAAATTTAGCATAGGTTGCAGGAGGGTGTATGTTCCTTCGAGGGATCGTTGTCATACAATTGTAAGGATACATATGTACAACATACCCAAAGTGGTGAAGGGTATCATATAGTCGGCCCAGGCCGACTTTACTTCTTTTCTTACTGGTTTTTCTTGTTTATCTTCTAATTTCTAATGGTCCCCTTTCTCTCCTCCCCCCTCTCTTTCCAGCTTTATATAATCCTCATACGCCCTGAGCGTAATGTACGTCAAAGTATGATGCCCCCGCGCTCCCATATGCATCGCACGGCCAATACTGGGCCCTCTTCAATGATGGCAGCTGCGGTGGTCACGGCCGCAACTTGTGCCCAAGAGGAGAAAATTCAAAAACATATCACACCCACCAATACGGAACACAGTAGTGTTAGTCAAAAGAAGAAACTGTGTGAAATGGCCACACAGACCATTACAATATCATCGAGTATATTCACCAATTTGGATAGTGGTAGCTATCAGCAAATACCCTACGCCGATCAATATGTGCCAAATAATAATCACAACGATAAGCAGCAGCAAGAAATGGGGGCGCATCAAGAAAATAATTCAATGGCCACTGGGGTTAATGAGGCCCAGGTGGTGGCCAACAATAATAAAATCAATCAGCAGCAACATTCGTTGAATAACTGCACGGCAAATGCCATAGCGAATAGTTTAAATGGAGTGGTGGTGAGTACGGGTGCACAGCCACCGGCATATAATCATGTGGCCCCACAACCACCTCCACCCACACTCCCAGTGACGACAACATCGACCAAATGCAACGAATCTACAACAACAACGCATAATGCCAAGACCGTGCTGACAACAAGTTTATAGCCATTATCCGGCAATTATTACAGCAGCAGCAGCGACTCACCCCCAACACCGGGAGCAACATTAGCCGCAGCAGCGGCAATTCTCAGCAACACGGCGAGAAATCTAGAGCAACATGTTGCTGAGCCCACGCAACCTGTTTGCAACTCAAAGTCTTCAGATAATTTACGTAAACCAACGGCGGCGATGGCGGAGAATGGAAATGCAGCAACAGCAACAACGACGGCAGGAGACAGCAGTAGTGTAAGGACGACAACAGCAAATCCTGCATCCATGACCGCAGTTACCAATAGTGTGAGTAAGACAGCTTGTGCCACTGGCGGAGGCAGTGGTGGCAGCCTATCGTCATGCTCACGTAATGGCTCGACCAAAGGTTCACAATCCAGTAACAATAATGTAAGTCCACTTAATCCTCCACTAAGTCGTGAAAGTAGTACGGGTAAAAAACGCTGTGCCATACCTGTATAGGAGAGGTGGAATGAAGAAAAATAACAACAGCAACAAAAATAAAAGTGAAACTAACAACAAAAAACATAGGAATTTAGTAAAGAGAATACCACAAGGACTTAGGCTAGGATAATAAACAAACAAAACAAAAGAGAGGAAAAAAATACAGACACACAGGGGAATAAAATCGGACACACATACATACATATACAGACATGAAAGCAAACAAATACGTTCAACCTAATACAGAGATACGTAGAGCGCTATAAATAAAACCTAATCTGTAGGCCAAAAGAAATTGGTGAACAAAAAAAAATCCTCCAAAAATATGGGAGAACCGGAAAGGAGAATATTTTTTGGTTTTTTTTCCAAAAATAATAATTTTCTTTAAAAATTTTAGATTTTTCATAAAAAATATTTAATAATTTTAATAATTAATTTATTTTTATGTTTCCAAAAAAATAATATTCTATAAACACAGTTTTCTATTAAAAATTATTTTAAATAATTTTTTTTTAATACAAAAAAATAAAAATATTCAAAGAAATATTTTATTTTTATAAGAAAAAATAAATAAAAAATAAAAAATTATTTAATAATTTTATTTATTTAAAAATTATTATTACTTAAATACATATTTAAATATTCTTTTTGTATAAAAAATAATATGTTATAAAATGTGTGTTTTTTTAATAAATTGGTTTTTAAAAACGAATTTATTTCCCAAATGCTTTTTTTTTTAATATTTTTTTTTTTTTTTTGTTATTTTCTTTAAAAAAATTTTGTTTATTTTGTTGTTATTTTCCGTATAAAAATTTTGTTTATTTTTTTTACCCAATTAAATGCCTCCGGCTCTCCGGCTCCTTTAAAGAAATAAAAAAACAATAACAATTGTACATAGAAATCAAAAAAACCAATGTGACTGCTTTAAAAAATGGATTTATAAAAAATTATGTTATGCTAAGTCATAAATATTCGACTAAAAATTTGTATAATATATAATAATTCTTATAAATATTTCTAGTGTTGTTTATATGAATCTATATGTTTTCCACCCAAAAAATTTAGTTAGACTGTATAACAAAAAAAAAAAACATAAATAAATTTAAATATTTTTAGTTTACAAAATTGTTGAACTATGGAATAATGCTTCCACATATTAAAAAAAATATTATTATTTTTTTTTTTAATTTTTATAACATATTTTTTAATTTTTAAATTTTGTTAATTATACCCTACACAACTATGTGGTCAAGGCATTTTAGCTTTGTGCAGCCCCAAGAGTTTGTAATGCCGTAAAATATCCTTTAAGTATATCGATCGTCATATCTCGTCTAGCTGAGTCGATCTAGACATGTGTGTCCGTCCGTCCGTCCATCCATCCATTATAATTTGTAAACACGATACAGACCACAGTTATGGACCAATCTTCACGAAATTTTGCATGTAGTATAGGTTCTGGCCAATGAAGACCCCTATTGTTTTTGGTAATAATCGGTTAATGTTAAGGGTATGAAATGGATCAAATACTTCATTTTTATCTGATTTTCTGGTCGCTCCAGAGGCCGCAATTATGGCCCAAAACTGGTCCGATTTTTTACATGGAGGAGGGGATCGGGCCAAAGAATAAGTATGCCTATTTTGATAAAGATCGGTCCATACTTTGCGGGTCAAATGGACCCTGACTTTTGTGTGAAAAATGGCAAAATTTGTATTCTATGGCGTAAACAATTACTCCTGAAGGACATAGACCCAAGAAGTTGATAGTATATCCAAGAGTAGTGGTTAACCTATAAATTGACACCAATTATATTGTCGTAGATACTTGGATATGGGAGTTACACTTAAATATTTACAGGTGCTTACGTACTCATATTTAGTAGCCCATTACCACAGGCGGAAATATAGCGCTGACCGATTTGAAATTTTCCATGAGGTTCCAGTTGTGGTCAAGGACAGCGCCTACAATTTTCGGTGATGATCACATAATAATTTTTTGGATGAAGTGGACCGAAAACTTTATTTTTTGTTTTTTTTTTCTAGTCGATCTGGACAGTGGTTGATTGTTGAATTAGAGCTGCTGACCCCGATATAGCCTCAATGTCGTTACCTTCGACAATAAGTTCGTCTTTTAGAGCAGTGGAATTAGCAAATGTTGCGACGGATGTATTTTTCTCCCAAGAAATTACGAATCTCAATGACAGTATTGCCATCAGATGTGACGCAGTTAATACAGTTATAACGAACATCACCATACAAACAACGGTGAAGGGAGTCTGGAGAAGTAATTTCAAGGACTGTACTGAATATTAGTAATATTCTGAAAATATATCAGTGTACGGAAGAGGTGCTGTTTACCTCTAATTGGGAAAGAGGGTGCAAATATCACAAAATATTGCCCAGGCTCGGAATAAACATCAGCAAAAGGTTAGAGTTCCGTGTTAGTTGTGTAGGGTATCGCATGGTCGGCCTCGTTTGACTATACTGCTCCGCTCATTGGTTTAAAATATTTTTTTCAAGTAAGTACCAAAGGCGTGGATTTTTATATCCTTCACCACACTGTGGTACAGGGTATTATGTCTCTGTGCATATGTTTGTAACAGGTAAAAGGAAACGAGATAGACACATGGCTCCTTTTAAGAATGTGCATAGAATCTCTTTGTAAGTCGATTTCTACATGTCCGTCCGTCTGTCCATGTTAAATTGTAAACAAAGTACAGGTGGCATTTTTGATTCGAATTGGATGAAATTTGGCACAGCTTCTTTATTCGGCCCAAGGACGAACCCTATTGAAATCGGTAAAAATCGATTCAGATTTAGATATAGCTCCCATGTATATTTTCATCCGTTTAAAGGTAAATAGTGCTCCAAAGTCGCTATATATCCTTCGATTTGCTCGCAATTTGGCAAAGTGTACTAAAATAAGCCTAGAACGATGTGTGTTAAATTTCGTGAAAATCGGTTCAAATTTAGATATAACTCCCATATATATTTTCGTCCGATTTAAGGTAAATGGTGCATCAAAGTCCCTATATATCCTTCGATTTGCACGAAATTTGGCACAGAGTACTAAATTAAGTTTAGAACGATGTGTGTTAAATTTCGTGAAAATCCGTTCAGATTTAGATATAGCTCCCATATATTTTTTCGTCCGATTTAAGGGAACCCCCCCCCCCCCTTCACGATTTTAATTTTTCAAGATTTGCACATATATATTTGAAAATTGAAAAAGGGAGAAAAATAATTTACAAAAATTTTTTGTTGTTGTTTTGTCCTTATTTTTGATGGCGGGCGTGATAACTCCTCACTGGAACATCGGAATCTGAAAATTCCAACGGTGTTGTAAAGAGTACATGTCTGGCTCTCGTATGAACTAGGATTATTGACTTCGCTCTAAAATTAACAAAATGGCGGACCTTTGAAAAAATATTTTTAAAAAATCGCCGAATTTCGACCAAAAACCAAGTTCATACGATCGCTATACACTCACAGAGAAACGTGTACAAATTTGGAATCGATTGGGTTATTAGTTTTTGAGTTATCGTGCCCGCCATTCACAAAAGAGAAAAACGCGTTTAATGTTTGAAAAGCCCTTTAGCCGTCACTTGCTGATGCTGACACAATAAATCGGCTATATCTTCAAGAGGGACATTCTTGAATTAGTGTAGATTCGTATTAAATCAAAAAAATTTTAGACCCCGAGAAGGGGGGGTGGTCTCCTTAAATCGTTTTCCATAAATTTTTCCCATTGTACGCAGACGACTCTAAATCTGCCCGAATGAAATAAAAATGTATCATAGGTTGCAGAAAGACATAAGTGTGCTCCATCGAGGGAACATTGACATGCAATTGTAAGGATACATGTGTACAATACATCCAAAGTGGTGAAGGGTATCATGTAGTCGGCCCAGTCCGATTTTACTACTTTCCTTATTGTTTATTATTATTATTTTAATTAATTATTATATATAATAAATGTATGTAGGAGTTAAATTATATTTTTTATTTATTTTATAATTTATATTATTTTTTCATAATTTATATTATTTATTATATAATTTATATTATTATTTTTTTTCTTTTTTTATTATTATTTTTTTTTTATTTTTGTTATTCATCAAAACTTGACAATTTAATTTGTTATGTTACTTATTGAGCCCGGTAACATAATGAATAATATTGTTAAATATTTAACGAAGCTATTATAACAAAAAATTAGCCAATATAAGCTCAACAAATCGAAGAAGAAGAAAAACAAATTAACACTTCCAATAATCAAAATTAATACTAAATATATTATTTGTATATATAAATTAAAATAAATTAAATGTGTATATTATATAAAATAATAATAAAAATTATTGTAATAATAATGTTGTGTTAAATATTGTGCCACTCTCTCAAAAAAAAAAAAAAAATAATGCTCTTAGGATTTTTTTTTATATAAATAATAACATATTTTTATTTTTATTACTATAGGAAATTTAATTTATTAATTGTTTTTTTTTTTGTAAAAATATATGTATAATATGTTTGCTTATGTTATATACAATAATGGATATATATTATATATGGAGACTATCAAAGATTTATGGAGTTATTTTTGGCAAGTTTTATAAAAACTCCAATAGAAGAAGAGGGTTAAATGTTCTATATTAAAATTTCTAAATTAAATTTTGGGATACTCTGTATATAATTTTCCTATTTATTATTATTGTTATTATTATTATTTTTTTATGTTTTTATTTATATATTTATTTATTTTATTTTATTTATTTATTTTTTTTTTTTTTTTTTTTTTGATTAACTTTGTTCATATGTATGAATTAAATTTTTTTATATATCACTGTGTATCTATTTCTTTATTTTCCAAGATCTTCCATCTTTAAAGATTATATATAAATGTATATATAAAAAATAAAAATATAAATTTCTCCATAGTTTTAAATATATATATATTTATATATAAACAAATATAGTGTTGTTTAGGTTTTTTATTTAAAAAATATTAATAAATATAATTTTATATTAAAAATATATAAAAATGATAGCAAAGCGAATTTTCAATGCAAAAACTAATAAATAATGAGAAATAATAAAATAAAATAAAAAACAAATTTGTAAATAAGCTCACAAGAGTCTAACCAATTTATATAGATAAAATATATTTAATGAAAATTAAAAATAAAAATAAAAAAAAAATATTTATTAAATAAAAAATATGTACACAATATGTATACTTAAAATTAAAAAAAAAATAAAAAATTATATTTAAAAATGAAAATATATAAAATAATTAATAAAAAAAAATTTAAGAAAAACCCCAAATCACTGCTAAATCGAACGTACAGAATACATACACATAAACGAATATCTAGCGTAATTTATTTATATCTAGCATATTTAAAAAAAAAACTAAATAAATTGATATTGTTATTAATTATGTTAACAAAAAATATTTAAAAAAAAAATAATAAAATCGATAATAGTTATATAAATGTCTGTATATTCGTATATATAAAAAGATAAATAAAAGTATTTATTTACTATATACTATATGTTAAGTATAAGTGCTCGTATTTATACATAAGTATTGTGAAATGTGTGAGACAGAAAATGTCAACAAATATAAAATAAGAAAACAAAAAACACAAATAAATATATATATAAAATATAATAAACAAAAAAAACATCTCTAAGATATATATAATACAAAAATCAACAAATTTAATATTGAAAAAATAATAAAAACAAATTGAATGTATTCAAAAATATAAAAACAGAACATTTAATTATTTGGAAGACTAAATTAAAAGGTAAATATTAATGGGATAAAAAATAATGATTTTTGAAAAAATGATTCTTGAAAAATATTTTCAAAAAATTCAATACAATGTTTGATGATTGAAAAAATATTTTAAACCAGTGAGCAGAGCAGTATAGTCGGACGAGGCCGTCCATACGATACCCTACACAACTACCACGGAACTCTAACATTCTGCGGATTTTTATTCCGAACCTGGGCAATATTTCGTGATAGTTGCCCGATAAGAGGTCAACAGCAGCACTACTTCCTTACACTGACATATTTTCCGAATATAATTAATATTCAGTACAGTCCTTCTAATTATTTGTCCATATTCCCTTCACCGTGGGATGTGTTGTGATGTTCGGCTTATAATTGTGGCTTATAGATCGACTCACAAACAAAAAACACACACACAAACAACCAGTAAGGAAAATAGTAAAGTCGAATTGGGCCGACTATTTAATACCCTTCACCACTTTGGGTGTATTCTACATATGTCTCCTAACAGACTCCGCCATTTCGAAAGAACATTGACATGAAATTGAACGAACTTAAATATAAGATCTTTATGCCTTTATGGAACATATGCTAAATTTAATTTCATTGAACCGATTTTCGCGGACGAAATATATATGAGACCTTTATTTAAATCTGGAACGATTTCTTGGGCCAAATAAGTGACATGTGCCAAATTTCATCCAAATCGGATCAAAAATGCGGCCTGTACTTTGTTTAAAAAAATCCATTTACGGACAGACGGACGGACGGACATGCGTAAATCGACTCAGAAAGTGAGTCTATATATATTCTCAAAAGGAAGCATGTATCTATCTCGTTTCCTATTGCCTGTTACAAACATATGCACAAAGACATAATACCCTGTACCACAGTGTGGTGAAGGGTATAAATATCCACGCCTATGTTGGATGCCTGACAAAATATTTTCAAACCAGTGAATGGAGAAGTATAGCCGGACGGGGCCGACCATAGGATACCCTACACAACTACCATGGAAATCTAGCTTTCTTCGGATGTTTATTCCGAGGCTGGACTTTATTTCGTGACAAACAGCACCTCATCCTTACTCTGCCACATTTTACGAATATTGCTAATATTCAGTGCAGTCCTTCTACTTACCTGTCCAAATTCCCTTCATCGTGGTTGTGTTGTGGTGTTCGGCTTTCAATTGTTGTCTATAGATCGACTCGAAAAAAAAAACACAAACAATTAAGTATTCGACCCACTTCATCCCAAAATTATTATCTGATCATCACCGAAAATTATAAGCGTTGTCCTTGACCATAACTGGAACCTCATGGGAAATTGCAAGGCGATCCGCGCTATATTTCCGCCCTCTAGTGTAGTAAGGGGTTACAAAATAATATGTGGATACGTAAGCACCTGTAAATATTTACGTGTAGCACCCACATCCGAGTAGATACGACAATATAATTGGTATCAACTTAAAGTTCAACCACTCCATTTGTATTTACTATCAACTTCTAGGGTCGATGTCCTTCAGGGGTAAATATATACGCCATAGAATACAAATTTTGTCATTTTCACACAAAAGTAAGGGTCTACTTGACCCGCTAAATATTGACCGATCTTTATTAAAACAGACATGTTTATTCTTTGGCGCGATCCCCTTCTCAATGTAAAATTTCACGATGTTCGGGCCATAATTGCGGCCACTGGAGCGACCAAAAATCAGACAAAAATAAAGTTTTTTTGTACATTTCCTCCTTTAAATATTAACCGATTTTTACCAAAAATAATAGGGGTCTTGATTGGCCAGAAACCATCCTACATGCATAAGTTCATGAAGATTGGTCCACAACTGTGGCCTGTATCGTGTTTACAAATTATAATGGACAGACGGACGCACACGCATGTCTAGATCGACTCAGCTAGTCGAGATATGACTATCGGTATACTTAAAGGTGGGTCTAGGACCAATATTTCGCGGCGTTACAAACATTTGGGGCTGCACAAAGCTATAATACCCTGACAACATAGTTGTGTAGGGTATAAAAATCGACGCCTATGACCCTAAAAAGAATCTACGATTTTTAAATATTTAAAAAAGTCACGCTGTTTATTAATCCCTAAATATAACTTTTTTAAAATCGAAAAAATTGTATTTTATTTTGTTCCCAATACCAAAGCCTCTCCTGCTTCCAATGTAACTTCCTTAAGGTTCACCGGAATTCCAGCATATTTCTTTGAGTCCAGACTGCTTATTTTCACATTCATTAATGATGGCAAGGTAACATCGAAATTATCCAATACATTAGCACTCGAAGAAGCTTCACCATAATTAGCCACATACAACAGAGTTTCTTCGCCCGCTAAATATCTGAAATTTCATGAAAATAATTAAATTAAGTAAATAAAAAATAGCATACCCTTGCCCACCTCTTCAGTACAAACACGCCATCACTGAGAGCCTTATATTTATAGGAACCCTGTTGCAAGGTCTTAGACGACTTTCTCAGTTGTACCAATTCCTTGTAGATTTTCAAATGTGATTTATCCGCTTGCGATTCCATTTCCACATTCACTGTTTTGTAATCCTCCGCCAGGGGTAGCCATGTCTTGGGACCATCTGAAAATCCGGCATTTTTCTCAGCACTCCATTGGAAGGGAGTGCGAGTGGGATCACGTGTGTATTTCTCGAAAATATCCTTATTTGAATTACAGGCCGCTGGATCTACGGTATCTTCCCATGATATTTTACCATCAGTCATACCCAATTCCTCACCCTGATAGGTAACACTGGCACCAGGCAGCAGCATCACCAACATATTCATGGCATCTGTGTTGCGTATACCATAACGACTGGCAGCACGACGACGATCATGATTGCCGATTACCCAATTGGCAGTACCTCCAGCTGGCATTTTAGTTAACCAATCATCTACAGCCTTTTGTACATCCTTGGCCTTGAATCCCGTATCCACTTCTGTGATTAAATTGAAATTAAATGGCAGCTCGGCTCCTTTGGTGGTGGAGTTGCCATACATTTGCATGGTATACCATATGGGGGCATAGGTCTCAATGAGCAATACCCTGGTGTCACCACCATGAATGCGTTGATAATCATCCATTACCTTGCGCCATTGATATATCATATCAATGGATTCCGGTTGTATATCCACTTTTTCCATTTTCAAATAGTTACGATCTTCCTTGTCATCTGTTAGGCCACTTACCTCCTCATCGGGGTAAATGCCATTTTCATCTGGTTTTGCTTCAAACAGCAAAGTGGCAGCATCAATACGAAAACCATCCACCCCCATGTCCAACCAATACCTCAGCACCCGTTTCATTTGTTCCACCACATCGGGATTGCGATAATTCAAATCGGCCTGTTGCACCGCAAATTGATGGAGATAGTATTGTTGTCTCTGATCATTCCATTGCCAGGCACTGCCACGAAAACCGGATAACCAATTGCTAGGAGGCTGCCTCTGACCCTTCTCATCCACCTTGCCATTAGACCACACATAATAATCTTCATAGCCCCGTTCACGATTCACCGATTTCTTGAACCATTCATTTTCCGTACTCGAATGATTGGGAACAAAATCCAAAATGATTTTCAGTCCCAATTCTTTGGCTTTTGTTAGAAGATTCCTGAAATCATCCAGGGTACCATATTCGGGTTGAATGTCAAAGAAGTTGGAGATGTCATAACCAAAATCCACCATGGGTGAGGTAAATATGGGTGACAGCCAGGCTGCGGTCACCCCAATATCCTTGAGATATTCCAATTTAGAGGTAATACCTTTTAAATCACCAATACCATCACCATCAGAATCCTTAAAGGATCGTGGATAAATTTGATAAAATTGTGCCGATTGCCACCAGTCCTGAACAACTTCTGCGGTGGTAACTTCCTGACATTGTTCACTGGGTTGATGGAACAAAGTCAGGAGGGTTATGAGGCCGAATAACGCACTTAGCCTTGGTCTCTTCTCCATGTTTACTGAAATGCAATGAAGGTGTTGACGGGACTTATATATGGCAATTGAGGGGAATAGAGAGAGATATTCTGGAGTGTTTATGGGAATTCCTGAAGTGTACAATAGGAAAAACATTGCAGATTGATAAGGTATAATTGATCATGTTAATCTCTATTTAAGTGGTAATTATGAAGTGCCTCTATTACATGGCATGTGGACATGACAGGTACACTCATTGCCCTACTCAATGCAAGTAAACCCTGAAAAGTTACATGGAAAGCCATTAGACCAAACCTGGGTCTAAGGACCCACATTGAAAAAATATTTTTAAAAAAAAATCCAAGCCTTTGGAAAGACCTTGATTTTTTTTTTAAATCTAAGGCCTTAGGTAAGACCTTAAAAAAATATTTTTTAAAAAAAATCCAAGGCCTTTGGAAAGACCTTGATTTTTTTTTTTAAATCTAAGGCCTTAGGTAAGACCTTAAAAAAATATTTTTAAAAAATCCACGCCTTTGGTAAGACCTTAAAAAAATATTTTTAAAAAATCCACGCATTTGGTAAGACCTTAAAAAAATATTTTTAAAAAATCCAAGGCCTTTGTTCCGACCATCCTAATATTTCTACATATTTTTATTTACATAAATATATTTGTAAAGGTTGTGCTATTGTTTGCACATTAACTTTAATTGTTTATAAGAGGATTTTTCGTTTTGAATGACAATTATCTGAAAAGTGTTTGTATTTTTATCAGAAATCAAATCGAAAAAAATTCAGCCAGGAAAAGCTCACTTCATAAGCTGACAAAAAAATTTATATAAACCCCCTTCAAAATAAAAATCCCTGTTAGTATAGCAAAAATGTTCCGGCACATTATAATACGTTATCTCATTGTCGCTCTACTGACCTTGGTATATCCATCACAGCAATGTCAGGATCCCACTGAAGTAGCTGAAGTGTCAAAAGATTGGTGGGAAACGGCTCAATTTTATCAAATCTATCCACGATCCTTTAAAGATTCCGATGGTGATGGTATTGGTGATTTAAAGGGTATTACTTCCAAATTGGAATATCTCAAGGATATTGGAGTCACCGCAGCCTGGCTCTCGCCCATTTTTGCCTCACCTATGGTGGATTTTGGTTATGACATTTCAAACTTTTTTGAAATCCAACCAGAATATGGTACCCTCGACGATTTTCGTGAGCTAATTGCCAAAGCCAACGAATTGAATTTGAAGATAATTTTGGATTTTGTACCGAATCATTCGAGTAATGAAAATGAGTGGTTCAAAAAATCGGTGAAACGTGAGCGAGGCTATGAGGATTTCTATGTGTGGGCCGATGCTAAAATGGGTGCGGATGGCCAGAGACAACCTCCCAGCAATTGGTTGCAATTTTTCCGTGGCAGTGCCTGGGAATGGAATGACGAAAGGCAACAATATTACCTTCACCAATACACAGTACAGCAACCAGATTTGAATTATCGCAATCCCGATGTGGTGGAACAAATGAAAAGGGTGTTGAGATATTGGTTGGATCAGGGTGTGGCTGGTTTCCGTATTGATGCTGTGCCGGCCTTGTTTGAAGTGGAACCCAATGAAAATGGCATTTATCCTGATGAGGAGGTGAGTGGTCTGACGGATGACAAAGATGATAGGACCTACTTGAAAAACGAACTTTTGGAAAATCAACCGGAAACCATTGATATGATCTATCAATGGCGTAAGGTAATGGATGATTATAAAAGGATTCACGGAGGCGATACAAGGGTTCTCCTCATCGAAACCTATGCCCCTGCTTGGTATACTATGGAAATGTATGGCAACTCCACCACCGAGGGTGCAGAATTGCCTTTTAATTTCAATTTAATCACTGAAGTGGATACTGGATTTACCGCCCAAGATATCTACAAGGCCGTCGATGATTGGCTGAGTCAAATGCCAGCAGGACGTACTGCCAATTGGGTAATCGGCAATCATGATCGACGTCGGGCAGCCAGTCGTTATGGACCACAGAATATAGATGCCATGAATATGTTGGTAATGCTGCTGCCCGGTGCCAGTGTTACCTATCAGGGTGAGGAGTTGGGTATGACAGATGGTGAGATATCATGGGATGATACTGTGGATCCAGCGGCCTGCAACTCCAGCCCTGATACTTATGAGAAATTTACTCGAGATCCTTGTCGCACTCCCTTCCAATGGAATGGCGAGAAAAATGCCGGATTTTCAGATGGTCCCAAGACATGGCTACCACTGGCGGAGGATTACAAAACAGTGAATGTCGAAATGGAATCGCAAGCGGATAAATCTCATTTGAAAATCTACAAACAATTGGTGGAGCTGAGAAAGACGTCCAAGACCTTGCAACAGGGTTCCTACAGATATAAGGCCCTTGATGAAGGGGTATTTGTGCTAAAGAGGTGGAATGTTTGAAATTTGATTTTATATATAAAAATTAATTTAAAAAATATTTTTTTTTATATATTTCAGATATTTATCGGGAGAGGACACCCTGCTGTTTGTGGCCAATTTTGGTGGAGCCAGCAAAAATGTGAATTTATTGGATAATTTCGATAAGACCCTCTCCGACTCAATGAGTGTCGTTATAAGCAGTTCGAATTCAAACAAATATGCCGGTATACCCACATCGGGTAAACTGATTTCTTTGGATGCCGGAGAAGCTTTGGTTTTAAAGGCCAATTAAAATAAGAATTAAAAATAAAAGCAAAGCCTGGAAATAAAAATATTTTTTAAGGTGTGGATTTTTTAAAAATACTTTACAAGGGCTTACATTAGGCGTGCATTTTTTAAAAATATTTTTTAAAATAGCCAACATCGGCGTGGACTTTTTAAAATGTTTTTTTTACCAGGGCCTATATAAGACGTGGATTTGTAGCCCCAACAGGTGATCGGTATACTTAAAAGTGGTCGTAGACCCAAATTTAAGTATACCGATCGTCATATCTCGACTAGCTGAGTCTATCTAGACATGTGTGTCCGTCCGTCTGTCTATTATAATGTGTAAACACGATACAGGCCACAGTTATGGACCAATCTGCATGTAGGATGGGTTCTGGGCAATGAAGACGCCTATTGTTTTTGGTAAAGATCGTTTAATATTTAGGGGATGAAATGGACCAAATTCTTAATTTTTGTCGGTATTTCTGGTCGCTCCAAGGGCCGCAATTATAGCCCGAACATCTCGAAATTTATAAAGAATGATAAAGATCGGTCAATATTTAGCGGGTCAAATTGACCCTGACTTCTGTGTGAAAAATTACAAAATTTGTATTCTCTTGTGTATATATTTACTCCTGAGGGACATAGACCCCATAAGTTGATAGCATATCCAAGAGGAGTGGTTGACCTCTAAATTGATACAAATTATATTATAGTATGTACTCGGATGTGGGAGTTATACCTAAATATTTACAGGTGCTTACGTATTCATATATAGTAGCCCATTACCACACCAGAGGGCGAAAATATAGAGCTGAACGTTTTGAAATTTTCCATCAGGATCCTCATGGATCCTATAATTTTTTGTGTTTGTTTTTCGAATCGATTTATAGGTCACAATTGAAAGCCGAACATCACAACACAACCCACGGTGAAGGGAATCTGAACAATTAATTAGAAAGGCGGTACTGAATATTACTAATATTTATTGACCTCCAGTCGGTCAAAAGGATGCAATTATCGGAAAATATTGCCCAAGCTCGGAATATAGAACCACACAAAGTTAGATTTTCGCGGAAGTTGTGTAGGGTATCATATGGTCGGCACCGTCCGCCTACACTGCTCACTGCGCTCACTGGTTTAAAAATATTTTTTTCATGTAGCTACCAAAGGCGTGAATTTTTTTTATTTTGGGTTTTTAAAAATATTTTTTAAGGGATTTAAAAAAAAAATATTTTTTGTTGTGTTAGCCAACATCTTGTGTTGATGGTACTTAATAATTACCACTTAAATATCGATACATGTGATTAACTTATCAAGTCTTTATGTTTTTTTCTACGGGCACACTGCAATATTTACCAGAAACACTCGAGAATTTTTTGGTTTATTCACCTCAAAAACCACATATAAGTTCCATCAACAGCTTCATTGCATTTCAGTAAAAAATGGAAAAGAGACCAAGGCTAAGTGTGTTCTTTGGCGTCATAACCCTTTTGACTTTGTTCCATCAACCCAGTGAACAATGTCAGGAAGTTAACACCGCAGAAGTTGTTCAGGACTGGTGGCAAACCGCACAATTTTATCAAATTTATCCGCGATCTTTTAAGGATTCCGATGGTGATGGTATTGGTGATTTGAAAGGTATTACCTCTAAATTGGAATATCTCAAGGATATCGGAGTCACCGCAGCCTGGCTATCACCTATCTTTACCTCGCCCTTGGTCGATTTTGGTTACGACATTTCCAACTTCTTTGACATACAACCCGAATATGGTACCCTGGATGATTTCAGGGATCTACTAACGAAAGCCAAGCAATTAGGTATGAAAATCATTTTGGATTTTGTTCCCAATCATTCGAGCACCGAAAATGAATGGTTCAAGAAATCGGTGAATCGTGAACGGGGCTATGAGGATTATTATGTGTGGTCCAATGGCAAGGTGGATGAGAAGGGTGAGAGACAGCCTCCAAGCAATTGGTTATGTACTTTTCGTGGCAGTGCTTGGCAATGGAATGATCAAAGGCAGCAGTACTACCTCCATCAATTTGCTGTACAACAGGCGGATTTGAATTATCGTAACCCCGATGTGGTGGAGCAAATGAAACGGGTGCTGAGATATTGGCTGGACATGGGTGTTGATGGTTTTCGTATTGATGCTGCCACTGCACTTTTTGAAGCTGAACCCGATGCGAATGGCATCTATCCCGATGAAGAGGTGAGTGGCGTCACAGATGATAAAGACGATCGGAAGTATTTGAAAACGGAAAAAGTGGATTTACAACCGGAATGTATTGATATGATCTACCAATGGCGCCAGGTAATGGATGATTATCAAAGGATCCATGGTGGTGACACCAGGGTATTGCTAATTGAGACCTATGCTCCCATGGAGTATACTATGCAAATGTATGGCAACTCCACCACCAAGGGAGCAGAGCTACCATTTAATTTCAATTTAATCACTGAAGTGGATACCGGATTCAAGGCCAAGGATGTGCAGAAAGCTGTCGATGATTGGTTAACCAATATGCCAGCGGGAGGTACTGCCAATTGGGTAATCGGTAATCATGATCGTCGTCGTGCAGCCAGTCGTTATGGTATACGTAACACAGATGCCATGAATATGTTGGTAATGTTCCTGCCTGGGGCCAGTGTTACCTATCAGGGTGAGGAATTGGGTATGACTGATGGTAAAATATCATGGGAAGACACGTTGGATAACCTGGCCTGTAATTCAAATCCGGATATTTTTGAGACAATTACACGTGATCCCTGCCGCACTCCGTACCAATGGAGTGCCGAGAAAAATGCCGGATTTTCGGATGGTCCGAAGACATGGCTACCTTTGGCTGAGGATTATAAAACGGTGAATGTGGAAATGGAATCGAAGGCGGAGAAATCTCATTTGAAAATCTATAAACAAATGGGGGAACTGAGAAAGTCGTCCAAGACCTTGCAACAGGGTTCATATAAATATAAGGCCCTCAGTGATGGGGTGTTTGTAGTGAAGAGGTGGGCAACGGAATGCGGTTTTTTTATTTACATAAATTAATTTGTTTTATAAATTGCAGATATTTAGCAGGCGAGGAAAGTCTTTTGTATGTGGCCAATTACGGTGAGACTCCTTCAAGTGTAAATGTGTTGGAAAATTTCGACGGCACCCTGCCATCTTCAATGAATGTGAAAATAAGCAGTCTGGACTCAAAGAAAAAAGCTGGGAGTACGGTGACTCTTAAGGAAGTTACGCTGGAAGCAGGAGAGGCATTAGTATTGGGAACGGAGTAGAATACAAGACTTTTGAATAATAAATAAAGAAATAAATGGAAAAATTTGTTTTTTTTGTTTTTTTTTTTTTTTTTTTTTTTTTTTGAAAGGAAAATTTGTCTCACATGATGGTAGACCTTGAAAATAAATTTTTAAAAAATCCACGCCTAATGGAAGACCTTGAAAATTAATTTTTAAAAAATCCACGCCTGATGGAAGACCTTGAAAATTAATTTTTAAAAAATCCACGCCTGATGGAAGACCTTGAAAATTAATTTTTAAAAAAATCCACGCCTGATGGAAGGCCTTGAAAATTAATTTTTAAAAAATCCACGCCTGATGGAAGACCTTGAAAATTAATTTTTAAGAAATCCACGCCTGATGGAAGACCTTGAAAATTAATTTTTAAAAAATCCACGCCTGATGGAAGACTTGAAAATTAATTTTTAAAAAATCCACGCCTGATGGAAGACCTTGCAAATGCATTTTTAAACCAGTAAGGAAAGTAGTAAAGTCGGACGGGGCCGACTTTATGATACCCTTCACCACTTTGGGTGTATTCAACAGGACCATTAAAATCAAATTGGATGAACTAAAATAGTTGATATTTATTTAAATGTGAATCTACCTAGATATATCCATAAAGTATGTAAATCGACTTCAAACAAATATAAATAGGTCATCCGTTGGGCTATGTCTGTACTTCTAGAAAACGCAACTACGTAATTCTATGCTAAATTTTGTAAGTTGTGCAAAATTTGATGTCAATCTGACTAACATGAGGAGTTTGATGCCCAATTTACTTGAAACCGGGGGAAAATATATATGGAAGCTCTATCCAAATATTAAGCGTTAGGTTGTTCACAGGATAGGTTGTTCTAATTTCAGAAAGTTTTGTTCCTATCAGCCTATTGGTTCCTTGGTGCGTCAATTACTTAAAATCAATCTATAATAAAAGGGAGCTATATATAAATCTGGACCGATTTTCACGAAAAAAACAGACATAACTCTAGGCTCAATTCAGTACGTTATGCCACATTTCGTGCAAATCGAAAGGTATATAGCGACTTTGGTGCACCATTTACATGAAATCGGACGAAACTATATATGGGAGCTATATAGAAATCTGGACCGATTTTCTCGAAACTTGGCAGATATCACTCTAGGCTCATTTCAGTACGTTATGGCAAATCTCTTGCAAATCGAAGGATATATAGGGACTTTGGTGCACCATTTACATGAAGTCGGACGAAACTATATATGGGAGCTATATATAAATCTGGACCGATTTTCTTGAAACTTGGCAGACATCACTCTATGCTTAATTCAGTACGTTATGCTAAATCTCTTGCATATCGAAGGATATATAGGGACTTTGGTGCACCATTTACATTAAATCGGACGAAACTATATATGGGAGGTATATCTAAATCTGAACCGATTTTCTCAAAACTTGGCAGACATGACTCTAGGCTCAACTCAGTACGTTATGCCAAATTTCGTGCAAATCGAAAGGTATATAGCGACTTTGGTGCACCAGTTACATGAAATCGGACGAAACTATATATGGGAGCTATATAGAAATCTGGACCGATTTTCTCGAAACTTGGCAGATATAACTCTAGGCTTAATTCAGTAGGTTATGCCAAATTTCGTGCAAATCGAAAAATATATAGGGACTTTGGGGCACCATTTACATTAAATCGGACGAAACTATATATGGGAGGTATATCTAAATCTGAACCGATTTTCTCAAAACTTGGCAGACATGACTCTAGGCTCAACTCAGTACGTTATGCCAAATTTCGTGGAAATCGAAAGGTATATAGCGACTTTGGTGCACCAGTTACATGAAATCGGACGAAACTATATATGGGAGCTATATATAAATCTGGACCGATTTTCACGAAACTTGGCAAACATAATTCTAGGCTCAATTCAGTACGTTATGCCAAATTTGGTGCAAATCGAAGGATATATAGGGACTTTGGTGCACCATTTACATGAAATCGGACGAAACTATATATGGGAGCTATATATAAATCTGGACCGATTTTCACGAAACTTGGCAGACATAATTCTAGGCTCAATTCAGTACGTTATGCCAAATTTGGTGCAAATCGAAGGATATATAGGGATTTTGGTGCACCATTTACATGAAATCGGACGAAACTATATATGGGAGCTATATCTAAATCTGGACCGATTTTCACGAAAATTGGCAGACATCATTCTAGACCTAAATGATTAGGCTGTACCAAATTTCGTGCAAATCGAAAGATATATAGGGATCGTTTACATTAAATCGGTTAAATATATATATGGGAGCTATATCTAAATCTGAACCGATTTTTCCCAATTTCAATAGGGTTCGTCCTTGGGCCGAATAAGTGACCTATACCAATTTTCATCCAATTCGGGTAATAAATGCGGCCTGTACTTTGTTTACAATTTAACATGGACAGACAGACGGACAGACGGACAGACGGACAGACGGACGGACGGACGGACGGACATGCATAAATCGACTTAGAAAGTGATTCTATGCATATTCTCAAAAGGAACCATGTGTCTATCTCGATTATTTTTGCCTGTTACAAACATATGCACAAAGACATAATACCCTGTACCACAGTGTGGTGAAGGGTATAAAAATCCACGCCTAATGGAAGACCTTGAAAATGAATTTTTAAAAAATCCAAGCCTGATGGAAGACCTTGAAAATTAATTTTTAAAATTCCACGCCTGATGGAAGACCTTGAAAATTAGTTTTTAAAAAATCCACGCCTGATGGAAGAGCTTGAAAATTAATTTTAAAAAAAAACCACGCCTGATGGAAGACCTTGAAAATTAATTTTTAAAAAATCCACGCCTGATGGAAGACCTTGAAAATTAGTTTTTAAAAAATCCACGACTGATGGAAGACCTTGAAAATTAATTTTTAAACCAGTAAGGAAAGTAGTAAAGTCGGACGGGGCCGACTTTATGATACCCTTCACCACTTTGGGTGTATTCAACAGGACCATTAAAATCAAATTGGATGAACTAAAATAGTTGATATTTATTTAAATGTGAATCTACCTAGATATATCCATAAAGTATGTAAATCGACTTCAAACAAATATAAATAGGTCATCCGTTGGGCTATGTCTGTACTTCTAGAAAACGCAACTACGTAATTCTATGCTAAATTTTGTAAGTTGTGCAAAATTTGATGTCAATCTGACTAACATGAGGAGTTTGATGCCCAATTTACTTGAAACCGGGGGAAAATATATATGGAAGCTCTATCCAAATATTAAGCGTTAGGTTGTTCACAGGATAGGTTGTTCTAATTTCAGAAAGTTTTGTTCCTATCAGCCTATTGGTTCCTTGGTGCGTCAATTACTTAAAATCAATCTATAATAAAAGGGAGCTATATATAAATCTGGACCGATTTTCACGAAAAAAACAGACATAACTCTAGGCTCAATTCAGTACGTTATGCCACATTTCGTGCAAATCGAAAGGTATATAGCGACTTTGGTGCACCATTTACATGAAATCGGACGAAACTATATATGGGAGCTATATAGAAATCTGGACCGATTTTCTCGAAACTTGGCAGATATCACTCTAGGCTCATTTCAGTACGTTATGGCAAATCTCTTGCAAATCGAAGGATATATAGGGACTTTGGTGCACCATTTACATGAAGTCGGACGAAACTATATATGGGAGCTATATATAAATCTGGACCGATTTTCTTGAAACTTGGCAGACATCACTCTATGCTTAATTCAGTACGTTATGCTAAATCTCTTGCATATCGAAGGATATATAGGGACTTTGGTGCACCATTTACATTAAATCGGACGAAACTATATATGGGAGGTATATCTAAATCTGAACCGATTTTCTCAAAACTTGGCAGACATGACTCTAGGCTCAACTCAGTACGTTATGCCAAATTTCGTGCAAATCGAAAGGTATATAGCGACTTTGGTGCACCAGTTACATGAAATCGGACGAAACTATATATGGGAGCTATATAGAAATCTGGACCGATTTTCTCGAAACTTGGCAGATATAACTCTAGGCTTAATTCAGTAGGTTATGCCAAATTTCGTGCAAATCGAAAAATATATAGGGACTTTGGGGCACCATTTACATTAAATCGGACGAAACTATATATGGGAGGTATATCTAAATCTGAACCGATTTTCTCAAAACTTGGCAGACATGACTCTAGGCTCAACTCAGTACGTTATGCCAAATTTCGTGGAAATCGAAAGGTATATAGCGACTTTGGTGCACCAGTTACATGAAATCGGACGAAACTATATATGGGAGCTATATATAAATCTGGACCGATTTTCACGAAACTTGGCAAACATAATTCTAGGCTCAATTCAGTACGTTATGCCAAATTTGGTGCAAATCGAAGGATATATAGGGACTTTGGTGCACCATTTACATGAAATCGGACGAAAATATATATGGGAGCTATATATAAATCTGGACCGATTTTCACGAAACTTGGCAGACATAATTCTAGGCTCAATTCAGTACGTTATGCCAAATTTGGTGCAAATCGAAGGATATATAGGGATTTTGGTGCACCATTTACATGAAATCGGACGAAACTATATATGGGAGCTATATCTAAATCTGGACCGATTTTCACGAAAATTGGCAGACATCATTCTAGACCTAAATGATTAGGCTGTACCAAATTTCGTGCAAATCGAAAGATATATAGGGATCGTTTACATTAAATCGGTTAAATATATATATGGGAGCTATATCTAAATCTGAACCGATTTTTCCCAATTTCAATAGGGTTCGTCCTTGGGCCGAATAAGTGACCTATACCAATTTTCATCCAATTCGGATAATAAATGCGGCCTGTACTTTGTTTACAATTTAACATGGACAGACAGACGGACAGACGGACAGACGGACAGACGGACGGACGGACGGACGGACATGCATAAATCGACTTAGAAAGTGATTCTATGCATATTCTCAAAAGGAACCAT